GTATATGATGAATTATGATTTATCACGACACCTGGAGGAACAGGGGCCACAACAGAAAGGGTTCAGTCGGAGCAACAAGTTCTTGGCTGGCGAGGCTGCTGCAAGGCTGAGACAAGGCTGAAGCTGGCATCTCTGGCAACAGATGTGCCACCTCGACATTCACAGTCTAGGCTATGTCTACCGCGCGAGATTCTATTGTTTTCCATTTCCATATGGAAATGGCTCTAGGCAGACACTCTGTCCGACCCAGTGCAACACACCCATTACCAGTACGGCCGACAGAGTCCGTACCCAGTGAGCTCATGACAGGTTTGATAACATCATTCCAACGCCGTCCATGTCCTAAGAGGGCAACACATATACACTACTGAGGTTTCTTCCTCTGTCAAGACTATCTAGGTAGTATACTAGAATTGTCCCTGACTCACTTTGCTCACCTATAATTAGGACTACGTCGCCGAGCGCAGCATTGCAGGCTTCCTTAAAAGCAGCGTGACATGCCAAGGACGGGACAAACAGATCTCCGACTCGGCTACAGCGACTGCGGGCAGCAGGGGAACCTCCCACCATAGATATCAACACCAACAAAACACCACATGACTCTGCAGGTGAGGATCTAGATAGTTTCAGCCTCCCATAAAATATGGCATCGGCATGTAAACATACTGCAACATCAGACGCCAGATGAGACCTGTCATTTGGCAAAAGACCTCGTTCCGATATGAGATCATCCCTGCTGGCATCCCTGCGCAGTCAACACGATGGACGCTGGTGATCCAGCGACTCCAACTGACGCCAGTCATCCTCCACAATCTCCTACGGAACAGACACCTCGCAAGCTTCCAGACGACCTGCCAACATCCCTAGATGACCGTCGTCCATTTTCCAGCTATGGCGAGGAAACCGAGTTATATGATGGATGGCAAGGCAAGCAGCCCTTACAGGTCTCGTGCTTCGCGGAGATGAATACTTACAAGCGGTTGTTTTGGAATAGGCTCATCCCAGTATATCACGGCACCCACCCCTGCAAGAGCCCTGACATTCGACCTGCATCTGGATACCCCGGCCTACGATGATGAGGAGACATTCGCCCGCATACAGGACAGCGACTCGCGCCTGATGGAAATGGTGGCAGCTCAGGCGCATCACAGAGAGGATGGCAGTCCTGGACAGGATGAAGATGCCATCGCCATGGACGACAAGCTCTCGGACAGTGAGAAAAAGGAGATTCTACAGAAAAGCCTTAACATGGCAGCAAGTAATGGAGACGTGGCTCGCATCCAGAAGCTGGTTGGAGGTAGGGCCAAGCAATATGTTGATGTCAACCAGCCAGATGAAGAGGGTACCGTGCCGCTAATATACGCGAGCTGTTTTGTGCGTGCTGCCCCACCAAAAGACTTGTTACTCGGACTGACGCGTGTCAGGGACATCATGAAGTTGTTGCCGCCCTTCTGAACGCTGGAGCTATCGTGGACAAGCAGGATCGAAACCAGTGGAGCGCATTGATGTGGGCAATGACCAACCGTCACAAGCAAATTGCCAAAATGCTGCTCGATCATGGAGCCGACCCTGACATCAAATCTTCGTCTGGTGGCACCGCGCTTGACTTCGTCCAACCCGGATCCGATTTCTCTCACTACCTGCATGAGAACGGCTATCATTTCGGGGCATCGAGCTTGGGAGATGACTTTTACAACTCGGGCTTCTCCCAGGATCGTTTCGAAGAAGAGATGGCCGAGAACGAGATGAAAAGAAGGATGTTGATGCAAGAAAGCGCGGCTAATCTGGAGGTCGATTTATCCACGTTGGGATTTGATGAACAGCCAGAGGCAAGCCTACCTGACAAGGGCAAATGAAGTGTTTTGCTGACGTTTTCTAGTCGCCTACTGATCTTGAGGTGGACGAGGAAGAGTTCATCTGGGACCGTTGTGTTGGGGACCAGATGTTTGTGTTCCAAGCAGATAAGCTGGATGCCATATTTGACCTGATCATTACCAATATGACGCCGCAACGATCCCCATCGCAAAAGCCCATACCGGCGAACCTCATCTTTCTCATGGCGCGTTATGCACACTATCACATGACGGCCTCACTTCTGGACGATGTTCTCACCCGAGCCATGGATCTCATCAACGACGTCATCGAACGCTGCCAGTGGGATATGACCATGCTGGCTTTCTGGATATCTAACGCGACTTTGCTCCTCCATTACCTGAAGAAGGATGTAGGACTTGTGCAGGCCACATCCAAGTATCAGCTTGAGCTTGCGGAGCTGATCAACGAGACCTTTATCCTCATCATCAGGGATGCTGAGAGGAGAATGAACAAGGTTCTGGATGTTGCAATGTTGGACCACGAAACCATACCTGGTTTGGACGACATTGCTTTCCAAGGAGAATGGAAGGTTTTCAAGTCCAAGCCTAAAACAAAGGACGAGCCCCCAGAGAAGCGATTTCGACCTCCCTCACCCAAGCGACGAGCACAAACGTCTCCGCGCAATATTACCTCACTGCTGTCTTCCACCTTGTTTGTGCTTGACTTATACGATGTTCACTCGGTCATCACATCACAGATCCTGTCTCAGCTGCTGTATTGGATTGGTGCCGAGTTATTCAACCGGGTCATGACCACAAAGAAATATCTTTCGAGGACCAAGGCAATGCAAATTCGCATGAATGTGTCTGTCATCGAAGATTGGGCGAGGACCAACAACCGACAACCCGAACACTACGAGCACGGCTCCACGATCTCGACTGGAGAGACCACGGTCGACGCTGCGCGACGACATCTGGCACCCATTATTCAACTGCTTCAGTGGCTTCAATGCTTCAGTTCGCTGGGCGAAGACCATGAATCCCTAGTCGGGACTTTGGTCCAACTCCAACGCCTCACCCCGACACAGCTGATCCATGCGGTCAAGAATTATCGAGCTGAAGTCGGGGAAAAGAGCCTGCCCAAGGCACACATGAAATTCCTGACTCAATTGCAGAGAGGTGAACAGTCGTTGATCAAAAGACCACTAACGCCCATGGTTGAGGCCACCGAGTCTGGTACGACGACGCCAGCAGGCCGGAATGGAACCCCAGCGCCGGCGCCAGTAAACAAAGAACCGAGCACGCCTCAGAAAGCGTCTGCGCCTTCGATATCCTCGCCAGTCGAGCAGGACACAGATCCACCAATGAATCGAAACGCGCTGACATTGGACCAGTCTCTCATGCTACCATTTTCACTCCCCACCTCGACAGATATGCTGATCAGTTATGGAGCGGGCATTGGCGGGACAAACAGGGAGCGAGCGAGGAAATATATCCCAACTGTTCCGGCAGAGGTCCTCAGCAAACTGAACCTGGATGGGGATGGTCGACGGCGGGCAGGGAGCATCGGAACCATTGGTACTACAGCCCAGGGCTGGCGAAACAGCGCATTTTGAACGAGATATTTCGCAGGTCTCCGGCATATTCAACAACCTTTCCAACGCGACGGCCACAACCAAGTGGTGATGCACAGATTCGCACTTATAGGTGGTGACATGAAAGAAAGAATCTGGCCTGTTATTAGTTTTTGAGTTAAGAGTATTTATGTAAGAGTACTCGTACTCGCTGTGCTTGTCAACGATGTATCCACTGTATCAACTCAAGGCACATTACAAGCCCTCCTGGCCCTGTAGGGGATCAATCACCCACATGATTGCAAAGGCCAAAAACGATTGCGGGTATTGTCTGACATGGCAAATTTGTAACAATGCCACACATGCCTACGTACATTGTTAGTTTCAAGCGCCACAAAGCTTGCGGCTCGTCGTCTCCCTGAGATTGATCGCTCGCCACTTTGCTCATGCTTCGCTCACCTTCTGCTTGCTAAGTGCTTCCTCTTGAGCGTTCCCTAAAAGGAAAAAAAGGAAGAAAGAAAAAGACAAGAACAATCAACGCAGATTCCAACTCGAATCCGAGATTCAGGTTTATTGAGTACAAAGTACATCGTACAGGCTCAGTCAAAGCTTACTCCTTAGGTCAAAGATGCCTACGGAGGATGTCGCAAGCACAATCTACCTACAAGTAGGCACTGATGGTTGCTTTTGCAGGGAGATGGGGTTCGCTTCTCGGGTACCTACCGAGCTACCTAGTGCCTACAAAGGTACCTATGGAGTACCTAGCACGCTTACCTAGGTAAGTAGTTGAGTGTGTTCAAAGGATCAGAGGGGGGCAGGGCGGCACCCAGGTGGGGAAGCTCCCAACCAGGACCTGCTTGCTAATGCCTTTAACTCTCTTCATTTTACTCACATCGACCACTTTTCACATCTCGGTGCTCGCCCTGTGACGCTCCATCACCCTCAGGAAGAGTGAAGGGTGCCGACGTACCTCGGACAAGTATTTCTCTGCCCTGACATAAATCCATCAGATCTCCGCGCTGACACTCAAACAGATTGGACTACCAGCCTGCTCCACTGAAACCAATGCTGCTGATGATTGCAATTTCGCCAAAATCCAGCGCCATCCCACCAATGTCTCGAACCCTAGCGGCTCCGACAGCCATCCTCTCCAGATCGAGGGAAAGAATCTAATCATGGCTTGTTCGCCAGATGCCGGCCATCCTTCTGTGGCGGCGATAAACAAGGACTAGGGCCTCTGTTTCTGAAACCTCCTCGTGGGCTGTCCGGCACCTGCACTTTGTCGAAAGCCCAGGACTGCCGTTTATCTGCGACAGTTCCCCTCCTCCCAAGCGAGCCCTATGATGGCCAACCTCGAGGGAAGATGCTTCTGATCGGTAACCGAAGCACGTCCTGCGATTTCGATACTCGACCCGTCGCTGTTCTCTAGATGTTACAAGAAGACTTGTTTCATCATGGCCGGCGCGCAGCACAGATGCGACCCCATCCTGACTTCACTGGCATTGCTGTACCAGTGACCTCGAGTTCAAGTCTGCCCTCTCCAACGACTGACACCTCGACAACGTCTGCTTCAAGTGCCATCACCGGAACAGTACCAGCCACAGCACCAGATATGGCGCCCCATGCTACCTTTCTTTACCCTACGGCGCCGCTGACCTTGAATAATATCGACGTGATTCAAGTCAGCTATCAGGCTGTCTGGAAGAGTGTAAATTTGTCTATATTTTGTGAGATGAGTCCCGACTCAGACCAGTTCGCTATGGCCAATGTAAACCAGAGTAAGCTTGTGCAATACCGAGCATGACTGGGAGCGAAAACTGACTCTATTTGCAGTTGAGCCTAGTGGCACGTATGCTATTGCGCCTGTTCAAGCCGGAATGCAACTACCCCGATTTCCAACCTACTGCAACTTCTTGCTTTGCGATTCCCAGAACAAGACAGATTCTACGACTGCGGCTGGCTTCACAATGGTCAGCACCCAAGGCATCGCGACAACTTATGCTTTGGCCGCTACACGTGCAGCAACAACCTCAGCATCAACAACCGGTGGTTCCAGTACAGCATCGGGAGCTGCCAATATGCCCTCACCCAGTGCGTCTGCGGCTGCCGAAACGGCCGTGTCTTCGACCTCTCACTCTGCTGGTTTGGGCAGTGGCGCCAAAGCGGGTATCGCTATCGGTGTAATTCTCGGCACTCTCGCCTTGATAGCCGTTATTTTCTTCTATTTGCGAATGAAAAGGCGAATGAACAAGTTGGAGAATATGGTTTCATTGAGGAGCACAGTGTCATCGTCAGTGGACCTCGCGCCGTCCGAGAAGGCTGCGGTTGAAAAGCCTACGACAGCATCACCAACTCCAGTCCCCTTATCCTCCCTGTCAAACAATGATGGGACAGGGGTTGCAATTTTCAAGATGGGGGACAATCATCGCAATTCAGAAGATTGGAGGCGCTTTTTCGGCAATGGGAAACCCCAGAAGCCCGTAACATCATCTTGACATTTTTTTCCACCATGATGGACCGCAGGAACTTGAATGGACTAATTTACATGGTTTTAGCGACAAGACCGATACGAACCAGGCGTCTCTATTTTCATACTTACGAAATCAAAATTTTGTGGCCTTTGATGTTTTCCGGCCATCAAATACCACGCAGCCTTGTTCTACGTTTTCGGAATGGCACGTGACCTGCCGCAAGGCTTTGTGAACAACGACGGTGTCCTCTCTCAGCAGGATGAATACCATCACCGACAACCTTTTGATTGTGCTTCGATTTGATTCCGGCTACTTTGTTCTCTTCTGCATGCGACGCCATGTTACATTCACCGTCCCATTCATTGTGTGCCGTTTCCGGCTATCATGATCTTTTTTGCTCTGTTCATTCATTGGCAAAACGCCCATTATTCGCCATGCTGCACCCATTCATACATGTCCGCAAACGTGCCGAACGATATTTGGCTTTCCCTTGCACAGCTCTCTCCAGTCCCCTTTGTCTCAGCATGTCGGTTTTCACTCTTATTCTCAACCCTCCTCATCCCCCCTGTCCCTTGCTAGTGTCTGTCAATTCGTTTCTGCAAATCCCCAAGTTTACATTGCATCATGGTGCAGACAAGGTCTCAAGCCAGGTCCGGGGCTGTTGCGCGCACCGGACAAGCTAACACCAGTACTGGGCACCAGAACGTTGGAACGCAGACGCAAGCAGGGAGCAAGGCTTTAGCGAAAAATCAACCGCAAACGAAAGTCCCAGTCAAGAGTCACCCCAAAGCCAAGAATGCAGGGAAGATTGGGTCGAAACGCAAGGCTCCAGTAAGAACTCAAGCTCAACCCCAAACACCAGCGAGTAGTCCACCAAAGTCGAAGACGCCGGAAGACAGTGAGAATAGAGCCCCAGCTGCTGCGAATGGCGTGGCCGGGCCGCGAGGGTCACCGTTGAATCCTCCTGCTGGAACCCCGAGAAATGGTCCGACTCCTAGCCCGACATCGGACGGACCCGAATTCAACAGTCCTCTAAGGGCGCCAACGGATGCCATCATCGCAGCCAGGTCAGAGGTGAAGTCACATGTAGGGGGAGGGTTCAAAAATCCAGGCCGTCTTTGCTATCGGAATGCCACCATCGTCATGCTACTGCACAGCAACAGATTCATGTCCTGGATTGAACACCGGCACATTCCCAATCTGAAGGCCGCTGGGTTGAGGATCAAACCTTACAGCAAACCTCTCATCGACGAATTGCTTGATGTGCCAGCTGGCGACGGGCAAACAGGCGACAAGACCACAGCAGCATTGCCCATCGACTACACCGATGTCCTGTGCGAACTGTTTGAATTGAGCAGAGCGTATTGGGATGACAGACAAGCTCAACCAGAGACTCTCAACATTGCAATGGGCTTCTTCTGGGATTACGCAACCAGCCCGCGCCGCGACAAGGAAATGAAAACAGAAACATATGCCCTGGAGGATCGGTTCACAACCAAAATGAGGGAAGCCGCAGAAGATCAGTGCGCCTCTGAGTTCCTGGGCTGGTTGATCACCCTCAGTATTGAGCAGCTCAAATACTTCACCGAGAAGAGGGTCAATCAGCGTGAGAACAGGTAAAGTCCTCCCCAAAAATCGAACTTGACGTATCTTGAATCAAGCTGACTGTAGAGAATAGACTGGACCAGGCGACCCTGGACAAGATTGTGGGCTTGGGCCATGTCACAATATCAGAGCTATTGCAAATCACCCAAACACAACGCGCCCGGTGTATGCAGTGCGGTTCCATCCACAAAGTGAAGACGCGATTCTCACGCCTCGATGAGCAGACAATACTGTCCCTCCAGTTACCCGCCACGGCCAACAGTCAAGTGCCAGTGACGTTGGAAGACTGCTTCACGAAAAACTCCGAGGATGACTTTGAGTGGCGTTGCAGCACCTGTAGCAACGGCACAACAGCATATAACCCAGACAATGGCAATGGAGCCAAGAAGAATATCTGGAGGAAGATCTACTCTCCTCCCGAGGTCTTGTTTCTGCAGCTGGCGCGCTTCAAGATTCGACTTGGGGAGGACGGTAGCGTGGAGCTGGACAGAGCAGGCAACATCAAGTGGGGGAAGGACGCCAGCAAGGTGACGATCCCGGAGGAGCTGGACTTGACTCCATTCCTTGAGAGGCGAGGGGAGCCCGCCGACATCTCAGCCAAGTATCAGCTAGAAGGCATCGTCAGCCACTATGGTGGCAAAGACGAGGGCCACTATATCGCCTACGTCCACCGTGGAGACAGCTGGTACGTGTTTGACGATTCCAGCGAGGTCCGAAAGATTTCTTTTCAAGTCATTCTCGACGGTTTTGATGGCTTCACGCCCTATGTGTTGCTGTACGAAAGGATCCCTGACGCCAAACATGACGCCGCTGGCCGTGAACGCGAAACACTCTCCGTGAGCAGTACTGGTAATGCTAGTAGTGCTGCTGGCGGTGCTGGAGACAACGCCAGTGCGAGAGACACTAGCGGTGAGCCAGACAACAACAACAACAACAACAACAACAACAACAACAACAACAACAGCAACAACAACAACAGCAACAACAACAACAACAGCAACAACAACGCCACTAATGAAGATGGCGGCAGCCCGAACAGAGATGGTCAAGCTCGTTCCAATGGCGCACACGATGTGTCCAAGTCTACAACCGCCCAGCTCAAGCTTGCCACAGCAAACGGCCAACGTCCAGGTCCAGGACAGTTATCCATCAACATCACGGCGGGTTTTGGCCGCTACAAGATCTTGCTCCCAACGCTCGTGCTGGAAAACTATGTGCCTGACTCCCACGGCAAGAATGACGCCTACGTCAAAGTGCGTCTGGAGGACTCCCTGGGCCAACGGACAGAGGTTGAAGGGATTGGTTCGTTCGAGAGACCTGGCCCTGACAGCACTGGAGACGGCGAAGACGCCTCTTCTATCATGTTGAACCCAAATTTCGCGCCTGGACAGACGCCTGTTGCATCAGTGGAAATCATATCTGACGACCAACACCAACGCACCCCCCGGACACCATCCAACAGGTCTCTATTCAATGGGTCTTCGAGCGGTGACACTGAATTGGACCCTGCGCTCCTGCCAGACGTCCCTGACCACAGTCCCAGCCAACACCGCCCTCGCCGGACCCACGGTGCTGGATCGGGCGAACGCCAGACCCGCAGTGATGGATCCTCGGGGGATTCCAAACGGTCGCCGTCATCCCTGGACAACGGCGCGCCGTTCCTCTACCAGACGCCGACCGTGCAAGCCAAGCTGCGCCAGATCTTCACCTACATGGAGAATTACTACGGGGACATGATCAAGCGGGACCTGCACGCGGGCGTCGTCCCCATCTACCAGGCCGAGATCGTGGCTCTCAACGGCAAGATCGCAGAGTACGAGCGCTTGTTGGGGGAGAACGCCGACGACGCCGAGGAGCAGCTGTTCTACTGGAGGGCCCGCGAGGCCGGCTTGCTGGAGACGCACCAGAAGCACCTGCTCTGGATCGCCGACTTGCAGGAGCAGAACCGCGCCCTCCGCGCACAGTACGCGTGGCAACATTACAACCCGACGGGACCTGGGGCCGGCCTCGGCATACGTGGCGTTGAGACAGTGCAGCCGGTGGTTCCAGAAACAGTGAGGACAGGAGCAAGAGAGAAGAGGTCCTTTGGTCAGATCAACGAGAGTCACCAGGAGTTGGTTTTCGACGATCGTGCAGTGCCGCCCAGGACCCCGAAGCGAGTCAAGTTCAGTAACAACAGCAGCGTGGTTGGCCAAGTAGGAGACGCGACCCATTTGCAGGAAGATATCGACTACGACTCGCGTGAGCTAACCGAGTTGCACTACGACTCGGCTGGGGGCCGGCTCTATGACGATTCCGAGGACGACGGAGATGTTGTCAAGCCCGAGGAGTTGCATGATGTGTTTAGGCCGGAGCCAGAGCCTGAGGAGGACGAAGAAGAGGAGGATGATTACGAGGAGGATGACGACGATATCAAAGACACCCACCACCCCCTCAACCCCACGACCGTGAAAGAAGAAAGCCCTCTCCCGGACTATGAGGACATGGTCCCCGAGGACGAACGGTACGACGGCTTGACCGGAACGTCGCCCACGCCGTGGCTGTACCAGAAAATCTCCAGCGGGCGCCGGGTGCCCATGGTGCACCTGTTGCGCCGGTTCCCATCGACGCCCACGCGCGTGGTCGGGCCACGACAAGCCACGCCAGCAACGGCGGCACGGACGAGACCCAGTCCGCTCCAGATCCGACATAGTCCGGGCCAGGGCCGCGTGGACGGTCGCGTGCGCAGCAGTCCTCACCACTACCAGACGAGCAGACGTCGTGAGCGGAATACATGGTCGGTCGATTTCGACGAGGATGGCGTTCCGCGATATTACAGGGTGTGAGAACTGATGGAGTGAAGTGGCCGGCCGATGATGGTTGCCATGAATGGGATGGATGGGATAGAGGTGCAATGGGGATAGACTGGATTGTCGCTGTTTATGTTGATGGACTTTTGCACAAGCACATGGCCTCTGAATTTTGTTCGTGCTTTTCGGCAACTCGTTACTCACCAAGGGTTGTCCTGCGTAGGTTGCACGGTTGATTCGTATAGTAGTAGTAATGTAGTTAATTAGATACCTCAGTCTTTTTTGACATAACAACGTGCCTTGATCATCTCCGAACCAGCTACCCTGGCCACCGTCTCCTTATTCCGTTAAGAAATACTCGAGGCGGTTTCTGTTCTCTTTTCCATAATCTCTCTTTCCCCGTCCGTGCCTCGCCCGACTGATGGGCAGAGACACCTAGAGTCCCAGGATATAGACATGGCTGACGTCTGGAGTCTGCTTTGCCCGTAAACCGGGAACTGGTGATTGAAGCAACGCCCAACAAATCACGGTCGGACTGGGACGAAGAACGGCGGACGAACCAATCAATGGTCACACTTCACAGAACAAAGAGAATTCAAGGCTGGCTGGTTCTGGGACCCTTGGGATAGTTCTGCAACCAGTAAGGCGTGGTCTGGAAAGACGCCCTTTTGAGTACACCCCTTCTGCAAACAGTTGCAAGCAGAATGGCTCCCATGCCAAAGACGACAGGGAGTTCCTGGGGTCATGGATAATCCAGACCCATTGTAGATATTGCCAGGACGATCCGTTTTCAGCTGGCTGCCTGAATGGCTTACAACTGTTCGCACTGGTCCCGGATTGATCAGAGCGCTCAGACCTCCACTTCCAAGGACATGGGAGTACCAAGTTGAGTCATTGGGCCTGCGGTAACAAGTTCAATTTGCTCTTCCATGGCTGGTCAGGTGAAGGGTGTCCTTTTACCTTGTTGCCTTGCGCTTACGGCCTCGCATAAGTGAGCCTTAGGTCGGAGATGGTTCCTCCCCAAATACTCGGTATGCAGGGCGTCGATATTTGTCACCCGGTGCCCACCAGCTTCTTCGGAAGGTGTGTTTAGCATGAGAATAGACGCGCCGGTGAGTCCTGGCGAGTCCAGAGTAGAAGCTGATTACGGCACAAGTATCCCTTTCCAGACCGACGCCCGATGTTACGCGGTTGCGGCTCAATGGTTTGACGGCGTGGACGGCTTCGACTGATCCTTCGACTGATCCTTGATGGGTTACCGCATGATCTGCTTGATGGAGACAAAGCTGGACATCTTTGATTGGTCCTTCCCCGGCCTCGACGGTCATCTTCCACATGTGGTCAATGCATTAGCATACGACCCCGCAACGATAGGCCGATACCTTGTCGAATGCTTCCACACTAGGTGCTTGCGTGCTCGATCCGTTTGAAGGAGCTTGTCCATTTTTGGGGGGTCTATACGAACTTCCCGCCCATGTAACAGGGACGTCACCCAAGACACTGAAGAATATCGACTTACCAGTATCCTGCAAGATCACCCTCTAGTCGATACGAATAAGAGCAACAAGAGTCTCAGCGGTCGATCCTCCGCTGTGCCACGTTACCACTAGTTGTCCACTCGTGCCCGTAACTAAGCCTTGCCGTGTATGCCGGACGCCTGATGGACGTCGAGGGGCCAAGAGGTTTGGGCCGGGCCTCGATAGAGACGCACGGTCCGCAATGGTCTGAGCCGCAGTTCAATGTAAACTTGTAGCTTCTTTGATTCCTTTCCCCGCTCAGCTTGGATGACGCTGAATATCAAACATCAGCTGTGCTATGGTAACTCTCAGTCTTTGACAAGTCGCTTCACCACACGATACATATCCTGTAAATGATGTCTGGACAAGCAACTTCACAGTCTAAATCTCAGGCGTTAGTGAAGAAAGAGACGGGTTCACACAAAAGGCGTGGGTATGTGCGGAGCAACAAGGACCCTCTGAGAGCCAATATTAATGTTTCAATCAAGCAGAGCAAAGACAGATGGCTCTTTGCCCACACCCAAGGAGAGCGGTCGAAGCGACATGGACAACAAAAAATCAAGCCTTGCTTCTCCGGACGAAAAGCCTCGTGTCAAGCAGCTTCATCACAAGGTGCGCAGCGGCTGCATAACATGCAAACGAAGAAGAATAAAATGCGACGAGGAGAAACCAACTTGCCAAAGGTACCAACCTTGCTCTGTGGCCCTTCCCTACCATACGTATAGACTGTTTCTCACCTTGTGAATCAGGTGCATTCGCTCCGGAAAAGTCTGCCTGGGTTATGATCCTCCTAGGGCGTGGATCTTTGACGTGGTAGAGTCCAAGAAACGAAACGAGACTCAGTGTTCAGAGGAACCGCCTGAAATATTGACCCTGGAAGACGAAGGTGGCGGGGAAAACAGCTCCCAACCAGCAGAATATTTCTCGAGCTGGTGTGATCCTTACTTGACGACAGCCATCAATGTCTCGTTTGGCGACACGGAAGAAGAGCGCCGCAGTTTGGACTTCTGGTTGAAGGAGACCGGGCCTACCTTGGGGAATTTCGGGCCCGATAATGACTTTTGGTGCGGCTTCATCCCCCGGTGGGCGTGGCAATCCCCTATCCTCCGACATCTAATGGTGGCTGCAGCCATGGTCGATGAGCAACTGGGCTTGTACCGCAAAGCGATGACATCGAGAGTGACACCGCGGGTTTTCTGGCACTATCACGCGGCGATCACGAGAATGGCCACCGCAAAGGCACCTGACAAGTTGTGCCTGACAGTTGCGTGCTTGATTGCCTGGATCTGCGAGACCATGCAGCGGAATTATACGGCGGCAGCTGTCCATATCAAGGCAGCATCACGGCTCTGGGGAGAGCTCAAAGCGTCATCAGCCAGGTTTGATCGGTCCACCCTAGACACGATGGCGCCAATCGAGCGTGCGGTTCGAGTATGCGAGTCGTACGCGAATGCTGTCCTAACTGAAGAAACTCCGTCAAGCGGTCCGTTGCTTCATGGAACAGGTCTTGTGGGCGAAAGGGCATGCGATGTCCCCGTTGTCCATTCGCTCACACAAGCACGAGGCCTGTTGTTGGACTCGATTGCTGCATTTTCGACAAAGGATTGGACGGAGTCTGACGCTCGGCGGCAACGCCTGTTTGTGAGAAACTGGCACCAGGCCATCCGTCGATATTGCAGCCATGGTCCAGAGTCGCGTCTATACAAAATCACCGTCCAGATGTTGTTCAATGTCGGCATGGCATTTCTCCCAGAAACCGAAGCAGGCATATTCAGCCATTACGCCAATCCGAACGCATTGAAGCATATTCTGGACGTTTTCGAGCAAATACTGAAAGAGAGGCAGAAAGAGAAGCCTAGCCCAGACGATGACAATGTCGAGGAGACTCTGGTTCTTGCTTTGGAGGTTATGCTGAACAATATATGCCATGACAAGTTGCATCAGCGCGCTCAAAGGTTGCGGAGGACATTGAGAAAGCCATGCAGCTACACCACGCACCACGCAGCCGATGTTGACAGTGACCTCAACGCTCAATCTGCTCACATCGCGCAAGTCTTAACCCTATCTCAAGAGCAACGGAGAGAGGATCTGGGCAATAGGCGGACATAATGTTCTTGATCATGAAATGGCATTGAAATGTGACTCTGTCTTTGCTTTGCCAGATGCCATGAGCGCCGTGACCGCCTTGCGTGACGACTTTGTCGTATCGGTTTTGATCTTGACGATCCTGTTTCATTGCAAAGGGGCGACTGGTGCATGCCCAACAACAAAACCCCGAATACCCGCGGTTCGAATGGTGAATAATGGTAGACATGACCCCAATATCTTATACGAGGAGCCGCTTCACGGAAGAGTGGTGCATTCCGTCAGAGTGATATTGCCGCTGTTGGTATAGCCGGGCCTTTTGTTTCCTGGAAATACGTCCGTTCCTCGACAATATAGTGAGGTTTATTTGAAACGTGGCCACTTTATTAAGGCTAGTTCCTAGAGACACAAGTGCCTCGCAGGCGATGGGTATGACCTCTGGGGCGCGAGAGATGAACGTTGTCCTCTGTCACAGCAATGATTGTCACTAGCACTTGGAGTCCTGCGCAATCTGAGATCCTTTCGAGGGTTGAATTACTAAGATGTGGCTGAATATCTTGATTCCATCATGTGGTCTCGGCCCCTTTGCCGCCGAATCTATCGGCAACGCCTCTCCCCTGGTGCTCATGTTCCTTGCGATGGTCTTGGTCCTCGTCTGTACTTTGATGATCCTCTTTTTGTCGCCCATGACGATGATGGCGGTGATGGCGATGGTGCTCGTGGCGACGCCTATGTCGATGTTCGCTTCTTCGTTCCTGGTGTCGAGCGCTGACTTCTGCTTTGGTACATCCTTCGTCCAAATTGAACTCTTCCAGACTCTCCAAATCATCTTTGTCATGGGCCGTTCTCCTCTTGCGCTTTCTATGGTGCTGTTCATTCCTTTTTGTCCCTCTGACTTCTGCGAGATCTCTCTCACGTTCCTTCATCCACTCCTGTCTTTGTCGTTCATTCTCTCTGAGAGCCTTGATACCCCGCTTCATGGCGGCGAGAGGATCATTTGCATTGAGCCGCGTGAGTTCTCTTTCCTGTTTCCGGGGATCCTCATCACCCCATTTCTCTCGCTCTGGCCGGATGGACGTATACCATGTGTCTTTAGGTCCATCCCTCCCATTTACAGCGTCTGAGAGGTAGACCGTGTATGGATCTTTTCTTTGTTCTTGATCTGCGTGAGGTCGCTTCTCGGGCGCTGGAACTAGGGAGATATGGCCATTGGCGTCAACAAGGGAAGCATGGTCTTGCTTCCGCTTGTTTGTGGACTTGGATGTATTTTCCAGGGCGAGTCGAATATCACGATCCGTGTCATCTTCCCCCGATAGCTTGCGTTTCAAGGTTCTACTCTTGCCCTTGCCCTGTTGTTGTAAGATGGAGAGTCTATCGTCTGCTTCACGCCGCAAATCGTTCTTCTCTTGTTCGGCGGCCTGGTCACGGGCCTTGGCTTCATCGCGCTTGACCCGCTCGATGTTCGCAGGGGAGTAAACATTCCAGGATTTTTTGTGGAGGAGATGGAGAGGCATTTTTCAAATCGAACCGTCCGTTGTAGTACCATCAAGTGGTTGAGGTGCGCCTGCGACACATTGTTGCGGGGACAAATAGCGGGACAAGGTTAAGGCACCTCAGCCTCGTCACTGTCGCCACCAGGCTGTACCGGCAAAACGTCGGTGAGTGGAGGTGCTGGTTGTCATCCTCTGAAGTCGCCGCCTCAGGCGCAGTGCAGTTTTGGGGGCTTGAAACAGTCTGGGAGTTGCTGTGCCTATTTGTGACGACTTACAGTTGTTCTGTCGTTTTGTATCCGTTTCCACATCATATCTGTGGATCTGTCCTCTCTTTCCCGCTTTGGGTCTTGTCACAAACCCCTTCAAGACTTCGATCTTTCCCATCTTCACCCCTCGCTCCGGTCATGTCCTTCCTCAACAGAAACAACTTATTTGGTGGTTCGGGGCAACCTCCGCGCGATCAATACGGCCAGCAGCCGTCTCCTCAGCGAGGAGGGCGTCCTTCTTACCCCCCGCCCGGCGGCGCTGGCGGCTACGATACACACATGAACGGTTACGACTCTCCTCGGCCAAGATATGACAGCCCTGGCCTGCCTGCGAGAAACATGCCTCCGCGCCCCATGGGCCACCAGGCCAGTCCCAGTCGTGGTGCCCCTGCCAGAGGTCGGAGTGGTGTTATGACACTACAACCTGCAAAATCTCCGGACAATTCCTATACCTTCCGCAACCTCGTGGCCGTATCCTCACAGGACGTTCCTCCTTCCTACGATGGCACCGACGTATTCCTGCTTATCAACGGCATGTATGTCGTCTCATCTCGGCCTATTGATGCGTTTCCCAGGGGCAGCATTGGCCTTTCCGAACCCCAACGATCTTGGATGGGTGTAGCTTTGACAGACCTAGTGCAGGCTGAAGTCTATGATCCCTTCAGCCAAGGGGCCCAGGCATATATTGGTGCGATGGATATTGAAATTGGCTTCGCGAGCACGAGGAAAACCACAGATGCGCCGTACGATCAGGATGATCTGGCCAAAGAGATTACAAAGGTATGTTGAGAAGCACCTGGGCCGTGGTTCAACACTGATCTTAGTCGATAGTTGTTCAACAGCCAGATGTTCGCTCCCGGTCAGCGGTTCCTCATGGACCTCAAAAGCATCCCACTCAACCTCACAGTCAAGACAGTACAGCTGGCGGATCTAAGCGAAAAAGCTGCGCCTACAACGTCTGATCCTCTGGCACGAGGCATTTTGACCCCTCAGACCCAGATCAATTTCTTCAAAGACGGGAAGACTCCTATAAACCTCAAAGCGTCCTCTCGTCGGCCTGCTGCCAATTCCATCATCGCCCCCGACTTTAAATTTGAGGACATGGGCATTGGTGGGTTGGATGCGGAATTTGTGACTATTTTCCGGCGAGCATTTGCCTCCCGCGTCTTCCCTCCTGGGCTCGTGGAGAAGCTGGGTATTCAGCACGTGAAGGGCATCCTACTCTACGGCCCCCCGGGTACCGGAAAGACATTGATCGCGCGACAGATTGGCAAGATGCTCAATGCGAGAGAGCCAAAAGTTATCAATGGTCCTGAAGTATTGAACAAATACGTCGGCCAGTCTGAAGAAAACATCCGGAAACTCTTCGCCGATGCAGAGAAGGAATACAAAGAAAAGGGAGATGAATCCGGTCTTCACATCATCATTTTTGACGAGCTGGATGCTGTCTGTAAGCAGAGAGGTAGCGGTGCCGGTGGAGGCACCGGAGTGGGAGACAGTGTGGTCAACCAGCTCCTCTCCAAGCTCGATGGCGTGGATCAATTGAACAACATCCTCCTTATCGGCATGACGAATCGGAAAGATATGATTGATGATGCTCTCTTACGGCCTGGACGTCTTGAGCTACATATGGAGATATCCCTGCCGGACGAACACGGTCGAGCGCAAATTTTGAAGATTCACACACAAAAAATGCGTGATAACCAGGTCCTCGACCCGGATGTGAACCTCGAGGAACTGGCTCGCAAGACCAAGAACTTTTCTGGCGCCGAAATTGGCGGTCTGGTCAAGTCCGCCACGTCGTTTGCATTTTCCCGCCATATCAAGGTGGGCACGATGGCGGGAATCACGGATGACGTGGCAGATATGAAGGTCAAGCGGGCCGATTTCGAAAGTGCTCTGGAAGAGGTGAAACCGGCGTTTGGCGTGTCAGAGGAAGAGCTCTCGTACTGCCTCCGTGGAGGCGTCATCCACTTTTCACAGTACATCAAGGATGTGCTTGAGGAAGGGAAGCTCTTTGTGGAACAGGTGCGCAACCCCGATTCCACGCCGCTCTTCTCAGTGTGCCTCCACGGGCCTCCTGGCTGCGGAAAGACGGCCTTAGCAGCCAAGATTGCGATCGACAGCGGATACCCGTTCATCAAGTTGGTCAGCAACAAGGATACGTTGGAAATGTCGGAATCCCAGAAGATCTCATACCTGAGTAAGGTGTTCATGGACGCATACAAATCACCCATGTCGTGCGTGGTGCTGGATGACATTGAGGAATACACCGAATGGACACCCATTGGCCCTCGATTTTCCAACCCCATATTGAAGACACTGGTTGCACTGTTACGCAAAGCGCCTCCACCAGGACGAAGCCTCCTCATCCTTGTGACGGCCACAGAACGCTCGGTCCTCCAACAACTAGATTTCTGGCGCCACTTCAACAGCGACGTACCCGTCGCCAACGTGCGGACGTACGACGAACTGGAATTTGTCATGAAGGAATCCAAAGCCTTCGAAGCTGGAGAGATCTCCAGGGCGGTCGCAGAGATTCGAGATATCACGCGCAGCGACGTTGTAGGAGTCGGGATCAAGCATGTGCTGCAAGCCATTGAGACAGCCAAGTTTGACACCGATCGGGTCACACGGTTTGCCGGGACTTTGAGCAGAGTCATTGCTGAGCGTGGGGAAGGGAGTAGTAGCATGTTTCATTGACCAAGAGAGAATAAGTAGATGATGTGAATGGTATGATATTTCGGGTGTCGATGCTAGGAAAGGTCTCTCCGCGAGCGCTGTGCCATTCCGGCGATGAATGTCATATCAAATGAGCTTGTCGTCCGCAAACATATAGTGGCGAAGGGGGGTATTGTCCATGGCTATCTTTCGTGGTTGAGTCCTCGAGCAACTCCCACTTCCTAAGAGAGTATATTTGGGATGGTCCTTTTGTATAGAAAAGGCTCGAACACGTCAGGCTTGTCCACCGGCATTTTCCCGCACTCAATCATAGTATGCCCCACAGATCCGACCCTCGCAATTATGAGGTTGAGGAATAATAATGGGTCTATCCCGGCATGGGCCCCAAGCGGCTTTCGGTAGTTGCAATGCCCCAGTGTGTTTTCGATGCCGCCTCGAATGTCTTTTTGCAGGGAATGTGAAAAAGCTGCCATATAATGATAGCCCAAATAATCGACTTGGTCAACCAAGTGGCGCTGACTGCGAGTACTGATTAGCCAGATATATCGATTCTCGTGGCCGTCGCTGGCGCAGAGGTAGTGTA